CCGATCGTGAAGCCAACGGCGTCTTTTAAGACAGCAGTCTCGTCAAGTACACAGAAGCAACCGACCCACAAGCCCTTACCCTCATCACCACCGAAGCTCAGTCTGTCCACGGCTGTAACAAGCCTAGCGTGAGGAGTCGCGCCGGAAAATATCTCCATCGCACCTGCCGTCATGAATAGCTTCTTGAGTCCAGAGAAGAATACACGTATGTGTGGTTGAGGTCTACTCGTCATGTGAAAACGGTGTCCGTACATGTACCCCATGCCGATGGAAATTGCGGTAATGGCTCTAAGTTGAAATGAAGCCAGCTTCTCTGTGAAAAGGTCAAGTGCATCCATCGAGTTGAAATGGAAACAGTTGGTCTTGAACTGGAGGAGAGCGGTTTCGTGGTAAAGTTGACGGCAGACGCGTGTGACGGTCAGGATTTGATCAACACCGTCGAGACTACATGTTGCGCCTCGGAAGTCGGACAGATCTTCTATGGAGATGCTCCGGTTCAAGTAGATACCTAACATGTAGTCTCTGCGAGATTTGGGGCATTGGTTGTTTACGAATTGGTGTGCTATGGCGAGACGACCCTTTAGTTGGGGCCCTGGGCGTACGGATGGATTGCAGTGGACTGCCACGATGACGGTGTACCCTCCAACAGCATAGCCGAGTATTCTGTTGCGAATCTCGCCAGGAAGACGAAGAAGCGGGGATTCGGTCGAGTTGCGGGTAGTACTGAGCGTGTTAGCGATCAATATGGTCTTCCTACTGTAGCCAGGCTCTGTCACTTACATCTCTGATACCGCACCAGATACTTCGGCATTAATTGATGCCATCTTGTCGATGTGACCGCGCGTCTTGGGCTGCGAACACAGTGGAGGGTGTGAGAACTAAGGAAGGTGAGACAAAGTGGCAGGAGCGAAGTTGTCAACAAACGAAAGTCCGTGCTGAAACTGATGCGGTGAGTAACCGCGTGTTTGACCAACGTGCTGACACATCTGCTATCTGTAATTTTCGACGAGTAGACAGATAGACGAATGAACCAGAAGTACATAATGATGTCAAGATGTCCAACATTCTTAATCTATACCTATGTACTGCTGTGAGCTACAGAGTGAAAGCAACTCTAGAGACCTATTACAGCTTTCCAATTTCTTTCTAGTATAGCATGAATCTAGCATAAAAGATCTAAGCATTATCTGAATCACCAGAGATTGCTAAAGCTGTGTTGTTCGCCAATTATGGTGATCCCACGGTGACGTCATGACATGTGAATGTGACAGCTGCATATGCTGGGTAACCTCTCAATTCCTCAAGACGTCACTTATGGTAATAGACAAGCGTGTGCATTAAAAACAATGTGATTTTATCTGCAACCAGAGAAGCCGTCTTTACTTCTCTACTACCCTACTTTACAATAACCTGATTACATTTACTAGAAATCAACATGCAGTCCGTCCTCCACAAAGTCATTGGCCCTAAAGAGGTGCACCCAGAGAACCTCGAAGGTCGCGTCGCAGTAGTCACTGGCGGTGCACTTGGAATCGGGTACGGCCAGCCTTTTCCTCCCTCCTTCCAGCCTTTCGCTAACACACCCAAAGATATGAAGTCAGCCGCGCACTCGCCCTCGCAGGCGTAAAAGTTATCATGGTGAACCGCAAAGAAGAACAAGGCGCCGACGCCATCTCAAGCATCAAGAAAGAGAAGGCCGACGCGCAGGTCGAATGGAAACACTGCGACATGGGCAGTCTGAAGGAAGTCAAAGAAGTTTTCTCCGAATTGCGCAACTCACTCGACCGTCTCGATTTCCTCGTTCTTTCCGCCGGTATCAACACGAACTTTTACGGGGAAGACGCGGACGGTATTGACCGCCACTTCGGAGTGAACTTCCTGGGCCACTTCTACGTGTGCAACCAACTCTGGCCACTGCTCAGAAAGACGGGTAAGACGGGCACGAAGCCCGCACCTAGGGTCGTCTTTGAGTCGAGTGAGATGCATCGTACTGCTCCATCGGATGTGCACTTCGCGAGCATGGATGAGATCAATGATAGTTCGATGGACCCCACACGGTTGTATGGACGCACAAAGTTAGCCATGATCCTGTTCGCAAAGTACGGTCTGCGTGATCGCGTCATCAAGCCTAATGGTGACAATGTATACGCTCTCTCCGTGCACCCAGGCGCTGTCAACACGGCTATGCAGCAGCAGTGGAAGGACGCGTATCCCGGTATCACCGGCAAGTTGTTGTCAAATGCCATGCTCTTTGCTGGACGGGATGTTGAGCAGGGGTCGTACAGTGCGCTTTGGTGCTGCACCGCGGATGAGATTGAAGAGAAGGATATGAATGGGTTCTACTTCAACGACCCCGTAAGTTGCACTTAACAATTCTATTAAGCTCAATGACTAATATGTAACTGCAGGGTCAACCAGGCAAAGAGACGTCTCAAGCCAGCGATGAGAACCTCGGCGCTGCGCTCTGGGATCTGAGCGAGCGGATCATCAAAGACAAACTGGGCCAAGATGCGCTAGTCGACTGGAGTGCGAAGGAGTAAGATCGTGCTCAGACACAATGTGGGCAGCTTCAACTACGTCTGAACTCGTGCGTAATGTGTAAAAGATTATCATTATAGGCGTGTAGAAAACATATCCTATAAAAGCCTACAGCATCCTGAGAATGGTATATGGTATGACAACAATGACTCCACCATCCTAAGAAACATAAGGCCAAACCCCGCGTTGAGGAATCATGACCCGCTGCGACCGTCCAACTTCCCGTGAAGACATAAACCGAAGTAGACCTTGACAAGATGAAGACTCCCTAACCGCATCATCATCGAGCAGCTCTGGATGCTCGTCGACGACCATAAACACCGCCTCCCGCAGATCGACCGCATGCTCAGGAAGGTCTTCGTAGACCCACAAGATGGCGTCAATTATCTCGGGATTGGGATGGTAGTATTCCGCTGCTTCCTGGAACCTCTTCGTACATAGCGCCTGTAGGTCAGGTACTAGGTACTTATCTGCGACTTCCCAAAGTTGAAGGTGTAGCAACATGTGGCGGGGTGTTGGGGTGTGATAGAGCGCTCGGCCTGAGCCCTTTGGCATGGCATGAAGTATTCTCTGTCGTTTCCGGACGATCTGATCTGATTGTGCGTTTTGTGATGTTTGAAGTTTCCGCTTCTGCGAGGTAGTTGAGGATGTAGCGCCGACAGATGGTGCTACTTCTGCTGAAGGCAAGCTCGAACCCACGTCACCACCCTTGTATGAGTCGTCTTGATCGATACTCTCGTAGCTGGCGTAAGGGCTACTACCACAACTTCTGATCCATGTCAGATCCTTTGTGTGAGCATCAATCTTCCAGGAAGTGGCGTCGTAGTCGCCTTCATGAAGAAACTCAACCATGAGACTGACCATAGCAGGTTCGTCGTCATGGAGCGTTATGGTGCTTTCGGAAGCCTCCTTCCCAAATTTTGTTGCGCGCCGAAAATATTCAGAATAGAGGGTAATGACGTCCAGATCGACATTATAGCTATCAGCCCCGCAGGCTATAGTGAAGTTTGGGTTCATGACTATGTAGTGTAGTTGTCTCGTGTAGAGGTTGAGGTTTGGGTAGGTGTGAATGGGCGAAGGTGGATTGGCAGTGATTGTCGGCAAAGTGGATAGACCCAGTTCTTGCTAGAGTGTTCACGTGCGTGAACAGGCGATGATAGACAAAAAGAGTATTCAGTCTGTCGCTGGCCACGTGAGCCGTTTGCCTTAGAATTTGACATCAACTCACGATGTGGCCACCTTGGATGAGAGAGGCCGCACATCGTGAGATCGAGTTTGCGATGCGACACTGAGCCAAAGACCTGGGGTATTTTTTTAGGTTTTGCAGTTTCTGAGCCCCAAACCCGTGCAAAACGTCGTCCAGCTGCCGATAAGTGACAAGAGGCGTGATTCTTTCATAGATCATGAGGTATGGACGTTGGTGGAAAAGAGACGTGTCCAGCTACGAGTCTTTGCAAGAAGTCGAGCATCCAATGAAGTCGTGTAGACTGGATGTATGCTCGCTGGCTAGAGAGATGGTGCTTGGGAGCAATAACTTGGTCTTGTAATCTTTTCGTGTACCTCGGCCTGATTGGAAGAGATGACTCTGACGCAGGACCTAGGATTCAGCACCCAAGACCGAGAATCCCGGCAGGGGGAGATTGTATTGACCAGCATAGCGGGCGTACGGCATGCTCCGTACAAATAGCCTAAACATGCAACGAGGATGACCCGACAAGGCCGCAGCGGTGGTGTTCCGTGGCAGGTGGCACGGCCCGATCGGCTAGTAACGCGAGCATGTCCGAGAACGAGAAGATATTCCGAAGGCACGGCGCGGCGGGGGCGCAGGGTCGTAAACGCTGTGTAAGACCGTCTGGTGGTGGGCTAGTGACCGGTGAGCAACCCCACCTCCGCTCCATGCAGTAGGCTATAGTCTGCAGCCCAGTCGTGTTCGCCGCTAGGGCTGCAGCTTCGCCACACAGTTGCCACCGTAAGATTGGGGTCCGGATGACAATTCCGCGAGACGAATGGCTCAGCTTGAGCGTATTCTTCCAAGCCTCCAACTGGATCTGCGTGTCGTCTCCGTTGTTGGACTTTGCTGTCGCGTGTTTCTGAGCGCAAGAACAGCTTTTTTCGATTCTAACTGCTTTTTGTTCTCTTTTAGTATCCCTAACTCGTCCGCACCCTCCTCGAGTATGAGTGCAATGAAGTCTGTTCGATTCTTTGCGACAGCGTGATCTAAAACGGAAGCAGGTTCTGTGTCTTTGGCGTTAACGTCGGCGCCGTGCGTGATGAGAACACGAGCTATTTTGACAAAGCCACGCTGTGCTGCGAGGTGGAGGGGAGCGCGTTGGTGGTCCCCACGGATGTTCGCAAGAGTCGCAGGCTCTGGATGCTGTTCCAGCAGTGAACGGATCTCTGCAACGAGGGTAGGGTCGTCCTGGCATTGCGCCACTTTCGAGTGAAAGACTCTCCACTCTTCGCTAGGTCTCGAAATGCCGTACATTGGTCTGGGAAGAATGCTTTCGTCGTCGTCTGATTGTGTTAAAGGAGCGCTCGAAGAGGAAGACGAGACGGAGAATCGCGGGGCCGAAGTCGGATCGGACGCTCTACGGAAGTGTACTGGATCTAATACAGTGTCTGTATTCGAGAACCACCGATCAAGCGAGACGAGGTCATATTGAGCTGGTTGATCCTCTTTGCTGTCATACATTATAGGTTGCTGTATAAGCTTCAGTGCCATTTCTTGTGCTGAACGTTGAGAACTATACTTACTGGTACTGCGGTCTCGGAAATGCGGCGAATATAGGAGCTGACTTCACTAGCATCGCGTTAGAGATGTATGAGTCTGAGGAAGATCTGTACGAACAGATATGAGCAGGCTCCAGTCACAATGACAATATCTCCCAGGTATCGTCGAATGTCGTCCACCGCGAACTCAATATCCTTGGCTATTGCGTCCATTCTTCGTTTCACAGAGGCCTTGTCACGAAAGGTCTCCGCGCTTTTACTTTGAGCTCCCAAGTCCGCTATCTTCGATTTGATCTCCCTGAGACGATTGCGACATAGCGTGATCTTCTCGCGTACCAGAATCGACGGCTCGCTGGAATCATCGGGCTCAGCTTGATGATACTTCGAGTTGAGTACGCGTACAACCCCATGCACCTCTGTTATCTTTTCGAGGAGCCGGCTGACCAAAATGTCGATTTCCCGCACCGCTTCGATATAGTCTTTGCATGCTCGGACGACGGCGAGCCCAAGCGATGCGATGGTAATTATGCTCGAAATAGTCTCGGCCATGATTACTTGGGTTCCGTGTACGGTGGCCAGGCCCACTTAAAGTGGGTCCTTAAAGGTAGTCTGGAGCCAGGTTATGGTGTTGCACAAGGATATCGTCTGATAAGTGCAGGCGGGAGCGCAACGATGGTTACGGACGCGGCATCGGTTTCATTTGAAGAAGGCCTCTCGCCAGGCGGCTCAAAGATCAAGAAGGGGCTTAGCAGGACGCGTGCAGCCTGTTCGTGGCCAAGGACGAAGACAGGTAATGTGAGAAGCACACGTGTGAAATGAGTTGACGTAAGAGTCAAGTATGAACAGTCAAATGCGCTATGCAAGGGTTGGCATTCGTCCGATGCGTCAACGGGCCGGGGCAACTCCACACGTCTGGAGAAAGCGGAGGGCGGGGGAAGCTCGACAACCACACTATTACAGATCAAGTAGGCAACCGCTTATGTGCCGTCTTAGTAGATCCACAGCCTCCCTTACCACGCTACGTATCGACTAGCCAAGCGGGCTAACGGGACAGCTCATATGTCGGGGAATTCGTCATTCGGAAGCTCATTTCGAACGTTCGCGGTTTCGCATCATCTGGTCCAGCATCTCAGACAGAGACTCGGGAGGCAGAGCAGACGTACCGGCAATGGCGTGTCCTAGCTGGGTAATTTCAAAGCATTCTGCGAGGCAGAGGGCTGAGAGAGAACCAAGGTGTCACCAATAAATCCAAAGTCGCAGGGTGATGCAATGGCTGACCCTAATGCCGGATGCGGTTTGGTAGCACCTGACGGCATTTGGCGATGCACGCGGTTATTGGCTGAGATTCCCCAAGACCACGTTGCCTGAAAAAGGGCAGCGATGCATGCCAAAAGCAAGGGCAAGGCGGCCAATCCACTGAGAGGGGGGTGATTATCAGAACGCAGACCTAATGCTCAGCCACTCGTCTAAGAGGATCTGGAGGTAATTTGGCGGTGGAGGACCCCGACAAAATATGCAGTATGCGTGATCAGGCTCGCCCTTGGGAAGGCCTGTCAGCCTTATAGGACTCAGCCCGATGCGGCAGGCAAACATATATTGTGATGCTGGGGCGCGTTGTCGCACATTGATTACGGCCCCTAAGCGACATACTCTTGCTCAAAGCGCTGGCCACTATGACTGAACCCCTTCAGCAAGCAACAGCTTTTGGAGGCACAGTAGGAAAACAATCCCTTGCGACGGATCAACAGCGCTCAACAGGCGCAAGACAAAAGTATGCGCATGAGTCGATGTTAACAGAATGAAACTGACTTGGCATAGTATAGACAATCCGTTTCTGACGTTCGATGACACGATTCCCGACCTCAAGACCCAACGTACTGAGCTAGAAGAATATGTTTGGGAATTTGCTTCATTAGCCGGTCTCAAAGACCGCTATGAGTTGCTTCGATTTGGTGCTCGTCTCGCTCGAGACAAGTATGAGGCTATGAGAAAATACGCGGATGAGCTCACAGATTCGGAAAAGGAGTTGTTGGAGAAGGAAAAGGATGAGAGAACAGGCTTTTGGAAGCAGTCCAAATTTCTCCGCGCGACAATCATGACCGCAAGTCTTGCCGGTATGATCCAGGGATGGACGCAAAGCGCCAATAACGGCACTGCTCATGGCATGCCAGAAGAGTTTAACCTCTGCTATCGCAGGGATCGCATGGAGGAAGAGTGTCCTTCATCCGATCTTTGGACGTTTGGCATGCTGAACGCCATTCCGCTGCTTTCCGCGGGCCTCTTTGGTACCCTCCTCGCAGATCCGCTACAGGAGAACTTCTTAGGGAGGCGAGGTAGTGTGATGCTGTCTTGTGGCATCACAATAGCCTCGACAATCGGTGCATCACTTACGCACAATGTAGGCTCACTCGCAGCTTGCCGAGCTATCAACGGAATAGCTTTGGGTGCAAAAGCGTCGATAGGTTAGTGGAAGCTCTCATTTATGCTTATTTCGAGGAGGTTAACAGCTTATAGTTCCGATATATGCGGCTGAAATATCACCAGAGCATATACGTGGCGCTGTTCTGGCGAACTGGCAGCTTGCTGATGCAGCCGGTACGTCCTCTCCCTTCGATAAGGTATAACCGTTAATCCAATAGGCATCTTTCTCGGGTTTCTGGCGAACTTGCTGGTCGTTATTTACGTGGAAAATCCGGAATCCGCGTGGCGCATTCTTACGAACACAGTACTGATTCCCACGGTGCCATTGTTGGTGATGATATACTTAATGCCAGAATCGCCTCGATACCTGATGAAGCATGGAAAATACTCCAAAGCACTCCAAGCCTTCGAACAGGTCCAAACCACTCGGTTGCTAGCAAGTCGCGATTTCATGTACGCGCATGCTCAGCTGGATTTCGAAAGCCGACTATTGAAGGGAGAGACGAACGAGCTAGGCACCCTGGCCGATCGCGTAGATATCAGCGCGCCGAGCTTGTCTGGAGAGCCATATCCGCCAGCATCGAATCGTATACGTTTCGACAGGCCTTCTCCGCAGAGCGCGGTATCGCCAGGTCGATCGACCCAAGATCCCCACGTCGAGGCAAGAACTTTGGGCACAACAACGGTACCGAGCAACGACCAAGACCAAAGCAGGCCACAGCCCGAGCAGAACGAGACTAGCAACATCGAGCTTGCGACTTTGAACCGGACGTGGAGTGATATCTCAAGCCTAGGCTTCGACTTTGGAGTCAAGCGAACGAAGAAGAATAATCCGTATTCTTACAACATCGGTGTCAACGGCTACTACAAGCGTCTGAGGGAGTTGTGGTCCAACAAGCGGTGTCGACGAGCATTGCTGTGCGCTTCCGTATCCATGATCACCCAGACCCTGACGGGCGTCAACACGATCGCCTTCTTAGGCACGATAGTGTGGCCCAACTCCGGAACAAACAGTGATCGTACATCCGCGATAATAGGTCTGGCCTTTGGAGCAGCGAATTATATGTTCGGGCTTCCTGCTTATTGGTCCTCGGATCGATTGGGACGTTCCGTCATGCTTTTGCTCGGCCTGCCAAATATGGCATGGTCAATCCTAGTCTTTGCCTTCCTCTTCAAAATCACTGACACGTCCGTCCAGATACCATTGGTCAGCATCTTCGCGGTCATCTTCGTTGCCTTTTATGCCCCGACAGCCGGTACATCTCCGTTCTCGATCGCAGCAGAAGTCTTTCCTCTCGTATCGAGAGAGGCGGGTATGGCCGTCTCCGTTGCGGTCAACCTCTTGGGCGCTGGGGTATTGGTCCTAGTCTTCCCATTCCTGCAGGACAGCATTCGGCCGACAGCTGCATTCTCTATCTTCGCAGGCTTGAATATGGTGGCGTTTGTACTGGTGTATCTGTTCGTTCCAGAGACGAGGATGCGGACCTTGGAAGAGCTGCAGTATACGTTCGATTTACCAACGGGATGGCACGTCGCGTATCGTGTGGGGTACATACGACAGCATGTCTGGGCGAATTGGTGGAAGTACTTGACGCGCAAGGAGGTTCAGCCGCCGGTTCCGTTCTACGAATGGGCGCGAGAGACGTATAGAGAGATGGAAGGTGCCAGCTGAGTTGTGGACATCTTCAGTGGAGGCGGACCGCTGAGACGGAGGTTTGAGCGCGACTGGACGCGATCCCCTTCCGCCAAGCAAATGACGTATCAAGGCTAGCGCGAAAGACCACCAAGTGCACGCCCGCACCCGGGGATTGAATCAGGAAGATATCTATAACCAAACACCGTCATCTATCACAATACTGTTCCGCAATTTTGTAGGCTCCAACATGATTCGTGTGTGTTGGTTGAGTTTTCCCGCCCGTATGTCTGTTCAAAGTGCGAGCTTCTATGACCTCTTGACGGTGAAGCTGCGCTGAGCATTAGAGACGAGCGTTTGTCCGGTTTTCTCTCAGTAATCGCCAAGATTCTTTACGCCTTCACCCTGATTGAAACGACTCCTGGCTAGCGCCTTTACGAAATAAACGCGGCGCACGCAATAAGATCTATCCTCTACCTCCACAACTCACGACTACCTAGGTAACAACAACCTTGCGGTAGAGCACCACCTGAAGCGATCAAGATGACGGTTTCATTGGAGGAAATGTAGGTCAATACACTAAGACGCTGTATTTTACTAATAAGATGCAGCACCTTGCGCAATCAGGCCGAGTCGCCTCTACTCCGACTGCCTGGCGAGCTGCGCAATCGTATCTACGAGTTAGCTGTTGGCGGAAACATCATCGTCGTATCAAGTTCCTACAAGCGATGGAGAAAAATGTCGGTCTACCTCACCTCCGCTGATCCTTCTGGACCGGACGCAAAAAGCGCCCAGGCGAGCATTCGTGCACCTGTATCGGATATCTTTACCATTGGCCTCGTATGCCGCCAGCTGCACCGTGAAACAGCGCTCATTCAGTACGCAAAGAACCTCTTTCACTTGGACAACATATACTATGGTCGAGATTTTGTGGACAGCCTTAGTAGTGCGCAACGAGCGCTGGTTACCTCTATCTCGGTTAGGATCGGCACCTACTTCGTGGCAAGATGGTTCAACTCTTATCCGCGGAAAGACCTTGACATGCCAAGCCTCTTCTTGCCCCAGGTGGAGCGTGTCTATATCAGTCCAGAACACTTCAAAAGCCATCCTTGGTCGGATGAAGAGACATTACTTAAGGTAATCGGGCACAACCTGAAAATCGGCACAGGACGCAAGGAAGGCATCTCGGTCATGGTCTTTGATGTGTTCCAAGGAATGGAGAACCGAGATCAAGCAAAGACGATCAAACTGGGTTGGGACGGTGAGGCGTTCGTCTGATTGGTGTTTCTCTTCTGGCCCGACACGGCGAGACCCAGTCGCTGCAGATAGGGTATACATTACAGATGGTCATCGGTTCTTCTCCTACATATGGAGTGCCCTCGAGATAGCCAGGCTGACAATGGGATAACTCATGATTCGATCATGAAAGCCATGCTTAACAATCTGTTCTCTGATGACTCCACGCTTCCCTTTCCATTCCACTTCCCATCCACCAGCACCTAGAGGCGTCTTCTCCTTCGACTTGATCTTCTCTAGCTCTTCGAAGGTGATGGGAGAGGGTGAAATAAACGTTGCGTTAACAGCGTGCCAGAAGAGGACATCTGAGTGACTCCATGGGATATCGTAGTCGTCTTCGGCGTGTATTAACGTGATGTCATAGTTCCGCTGCTTGCCGTTGACCTTGATACTGTCCAGTCGGTGAATAAGTGCTGCAAGATTCTCCTTGGATGGAAATTTGGTGATGATAAATCGGTTCAGCAGGTTCATAAGCGGTGGAAATATTGCGAGAGGGGAGAGCAGCGGGAGGGTGCGAGCAACCTTGTACGTCCTTGTAAGCGACTCAACATCGGCGAATGGGGCGACTAAGACGACTCCCGCTAGAACAACAGGAGTCGGCTGTGAAGCCAAGTGATGAGTGAGCGACAAAGCTACGGCAGTACCCATGGATTGGGCAAAGACCACAATCCTCGCTGGTGGTATACCCGCAGTATCCGTTACGAACTTGAGCAAGGTAAGCGCATCAGTAAGAAGACCAGCCTCCGAAGGCCACCCAGAACTGGTACCGAAACCACGATAGTCGATAGCCAGGACATGTACGTTGGTCGATGTCGCGCTCATCGCCCTGTAACTTTGGGGCCGCCAGCCGGATCCCAGCGTACCTGCTGCGCCATGCAGATAAATCACTACTTGCGCAGTAGGATCTTTCAGTAAACGGAAGGAGATTCGGTCTTCGACATTCGCGCAAAGTCCGACTGGCTCGTCACGGAGTTGCGTTTGATGTTGGCGGTAGGTCTCCAGTGGCAGAACGTGCCAAGCATGTAGAGTCTCACCATCTGGCGTCTTGAGATTGAAGGGGGTGACTTGGTTGCGCAGAAAGCCCCATTGCTCGGGTACGTTGATATCCTGATTCCAGGTTCGGGTTACTCGGTGCAGGAAGATGACGTGATCCTGTAGAGTCGGGATCGTGAGTAGCAAGACGAAGCCGAGATAGAACCCGATGAGACCAATGATGATTGAGAGAAGAAGTGTAAGCATGCTGGTGGCTGTATACCTGGTCTATCTCGAGCTTGAATACCTAGGTAGTCCAGTCGCGACCCGGACGATTTGAGATTTACAGTAGCGCTAACCGATGTGGGGTAAGTGGATCATGATAAAAAACGCCACATGTTTGAACGTGTGCAGTTCTTCATATGATATACATTTCTCGGATGCGAGAAAGTTCACAATGTTGGTGTTGAGGACGCGTTGCAATTACGCGTAATGGTCGTGATTTGGGGAATAACCAATCGGGCCTAGCTCAGGGTCATCGCATGTGCCGAGGTTTAGGCCAAGCACAAACCCCCCAAACGCGTCAAATCCACGCTCCTTCCCCCATCCCACTCCAAGATTTGTCGAATTTCGAAGTGCTATACTATACTCTGATCGCGACAGCTTTCTGATACCTGCCATGCTATCTACCTCATGCCAAAACTGATAAAAGATCAGCGGCATGTGTGGACAAACTTCCACGGACGCGCTGCGTCATATGCAGCGAATGGCTGGTATGGCAGTATCACTTCAGACATCGCTAACGACCTCGCAGCTCCGGCGCGTAATTCCATCCAAGCACAATCGTCTACGATATCAGTTTGACTCTAGGCTCGGTCCACGCAACGCTAGCACATCCAATCACATCGCATACGGCATGTAGGCTGACTTCCAGGAAGAGGAAGGCACCACTGTTGGCGACTCTGGTGACTGGACCGATCCCGAAACCGGCAACAGCGTAGAAGATGATGACAGCACATGCGAGAATGCTTCCTAAATCGTCATGGGCCCTGGTAATACGGTGAATCAGGAAGTTCCACATTGGAAGAAGATGTATCTTCGGTGCTTATACAGTATGCACGGTCGCAGCACGCATGTATCAAGCTTTTACGGGAACCGATATGCGTCCCTTACCGATGAGGATGTTATGCGCATGCTCAACCCGAGAGCGTGGAACGTCATTTGAGCTGACCTCCCTACTTTGCTGCTTTTATTCTTGCAGAGTACGAATGTCCTCACTATTCACTACTCTTTACGCAGCTGAATCGGCCCTCAAACTAATTGAGTATATCGAGTATGAATGAGTTGCGAGGGAAAATGTGTGAGCAGCCACATGATCGGTGACCGTATTCCAAAAAAAGACTAGGCTGATGGTTGCTGACCACACCTGTGGAAGTGGCTTTACTATTTCGCTTCGAGTGTATATATGGACATTTGCATCGGCCAGCGATGGAAGGTGCCAATTCCAAACCCAAGTTCGAGATATAGCCACAGTCGACATGGGCAACTCTGCACCGAACATGCAGCTGCCAGACGCAGCGACCATCCTCCAGTCCGTTAACGCTACGATAGATCATACAGCCTCTCTGTTCCCTACTTCTGGATATCAAGTCTTCCAGTCCGTACTTCGCACCCTCCTCATACTTCTGTTTCTCTTTGTTACATACCATTGCTTTCACTATTTCACATGCGAACTTCCGCCGTTTGGCTCCGGTCTCAAAGCTCTCCCGGGTCCGCGCTCAACACTCCCTTACTTAGGTCGCGTTCACGATGTCGACCGCATGCAGGCTTGGACCTCAATGCACAAGTTCAGCAAGCAGTATGGCGGGCTGTTCGCATGTACACTTGGGGGCGAAACGCACATCTGGGTCGCAAGAGAAGATGTTGCGCAAGACTTGATGGTCAAGAATGCTGAGCTGAGTTCGGCGAGGGCAGATATTGGGTCTTTCCCAGGGGTGACACAGGACTTTTTGTACTTGCCTCTGCTCGGGTACACAGGTATGTCTGCCATTACCAAGACTCTGATATGAGGTTATCACTGACGTCCGACTTACAGATCACTTCCACCGTCAAAAACGATTCGCAAACGCAATGATGACCCGCGCAGCTAAGAACCAATACTACGGTCACATCCAGCTTGAGATGAAGCGCTTCATGCAGGAGCTCTCCCGAAAGCCAGAAGACTTCTTCACTCTCACCCATCTCTTCTGCGCTAGAATCAGCTCTCGCCTCGCGTATGGCACCGCCGATCGTTCAATAGAGCACATGATCAACGCCGGCGCCTTCATTTCCCAACTTGGCCCTTCTGGGCCCATACCTAATCTCATGCCGTTCCTAAGATACTTCCCTGAGTGGATGGCGCCAGGTCAGCGCGGAGTGCGAGAACGCCGAGAAAAGGAAGCAGCGCTGTGGAAGGACGCATTCGATCTGGCAAAAGCATCCAAAGATAAGGCAATTTACACCACCGCAAGCTTGGCTACCAAAGCTATTGGCTCCGATACCGACCTTCTCTTCGCTGACGAGGAGGAGGCCAAGGCTGCAGTTGGCATGCTCTGCACTGTCGCGATCTATACTATTGGCGGACCGGCGACGCTGTTCGTCATGGCTATGATCCTACATCCGGAATGGCAAACCAAAGTGCGTCAGCAGATTGATGAGGTAGTTGGAAAGGATGAGATGGTGGACTTTAAGCACAGTCCACGGTTACCGATTTTGAGGGCAGCTATCAAGGAATGTGTGAGATGGAAGAGTACTGTTCCACTCGGTAAGTTCTTTCTTCTCTTGTGTCCTCAATCCTCGAACTGTCCCAAGTTCCATACAGCATGAAGCTGACCAGTCATCAGGCGTCCCCCGCCTACTCTCGAAGAACTACACCCACTCTGGCTACCATTTTCCCCGCGGCGCCGTCGTCCACGTCCTCGACATCGCCATGTCTCAAAACCCCACCACCTACTCCTCTTCCCCTCCCTCCGTCTACGACCCCTCCCGCTGGCTCGACCCATCGTCTCCCAATTTTAAGTCTCCACTTACCGAATATCCACGCTTGAAAGGCCATCATATCTTTGGGAGAGGCAAGAGAGTGTGTCCCGGCCAGGATCTTGCGGAGGCGGAGCTGTTGGTCTTTTGTGGAAACTTGGTTAAGAATTTCGAGCTTGGGAAGAAAGACGGAATAGAGATTGGGCCGGACCAATGGACACCGCATGTCATCGGGGGACCGTTGCCGTTCCCCTGCGAGATTAAGGTGAGAGATGATCAGAAGGCGAGAGTAGTTGGGGAGTAGTGGGAAGATATTAAAGGGCAGATGGAGGGGTAAAGAGGTTTTCGGTGTTGGATGCGGATACGCGTGCTGTTCTTCCGATATAACATACAGTCTTATCATACCCCATGATTCAACCAGTAACAATGCCCCACGTTAACCAAGTGTCGATCGTCTTCTTTCTCTCCAGCAGCCTCTCCTCTTCGCTCTCATGGTCGCATGCTGCAATTCCTCTCCTCTCCTTTGATTCTGCTGTCTCCCTTAGTAGGGTGCTGCCACCATCACTCGAAAGCTCATATGAACGAAACTCCGCGTTCGACCATCCGGTGGCTAGTCATGTATGATCAGCAATCGTCAAAACGATGCAGCGATCAAGAGACTGCAAACCTTGTGCGCTCAACGAGCCCTTCCAGTCATCGGTCAGGAAGTGAAGGAAGCAGCCATGCGAGACGACAACAATGTTGTTCTCCGGTCTGTCTCGAAGCCATTGCCGAGCGCTTTCGGCTCTAGCGAGAAGCGAAGCACTCGTGAGCGATGCGTCAGTCTGCCATACTTGGTAAGCCTACCCAGTACTGATACTTTTTGGAACGCTGGATCAAGATTTGATGGTCCATCTGCCTACTTTCACTTGCCAGCCCTCTTCTACGAGGCCGAGGTCCGCAACGGTATTCTCAAACTCTTCCTGAAGAACTTCGACATCGCTGCCAGTGTCGCAAGGCAAGTTGCTTGCTTCTTGCAACGAGGGCAAGGCCAGGACCTGGACACCCCGTGACACTTCTGGCTCGAATCCTAATAACGCGGTGTGAATTGTTCGTCGTAGGGGTGAAGCGACCACGAGCTCAACTTCGGCGTGGTACGGAAACGTTGCTACAAGTTCATTGCATTGGCGCTCGCCATACGGTGTGAGCGATGGATCTGGAAGGTTGTGGTTGCTGTACGACAGATTGTGGACACCTTGCGCGTGCCTGACGCAATGAATGATACGCGCCACTATGCGCAGGACAGTCGAATCAGTTATCGCGCAATGTTGTTTTTAATGGCGCGCACTCACTCGCATATCAAAACTGCGTAGTAGCAGCATTGACGAGACGGGCTGAGCGGAAGATGGTGTGCAGCTGCCTGATCAGTGGGCTAGTGTGCAGCGGGGCTGTGCTGTCCGCCCCGTATCATCTCAGCCGCACCGCGCTCCCACCTGAGTGCTTTCCTTCATGTCAATCTCCTCCAGACAAACTACCTTCGAGTCTTGGTGCGAAGAAATGCCCAAATGGAGGTTCCTAAGCCGCCTGCCAAACGTCGCAAAATCACGCCGAATGCAGGTCACAGGCCAGTAACCAGAGCCAGCCTTGCACGCGCCCAACAAGATAACTCCACACTACCCGCCTACGTTTATCGAGCCCTCAAGAAAAAAGACGAGATACGCATCTTCAGAGTCGAGAAAATAGGAGCGAATGAATGGCAGTACAGCATCGAACACACAACATTGACCGATGCACCACCCTTCGAAACCGTCTCGTATGTCTGGGGACCGGATACGCGCCAAAATATCCTCCGTCTGCGAGATGATCGGACGATACGCATCAACGACAACCTTACCCAAGCCCTTCCTTATCTCTCGGCAGAATGCAAGACTGGGTATCTGTGGATCGATCAAATCAACATCAATCAGTCTAGTACACAAGAGCGCAATCATCAAGTCAAAATGATGGGTGATATCTATCGCAGAGGGAAAAGAGTTCTGGCGTGGTTGGGTATCGGCCCCAAACTCAACAAATCAACTCTCGCCCTTGTCGAAATGGTCCGCTCTTCGCTTGAGGTTCGCAAATGCAACTCTGATATACGTGTGAGAATCAAAAGGCAAATTTACGAAAATGGCCTCGGAGACATTGTGGCGATACTCCAACTCTTGAGGAGCGAATGGTTCTCTCGTGCATGGGTCTTCCAAGAGATTGTGCTCCCGAATCACGCACTGTTCCTGCTCGGGGACTTGACCTTACCTTTTTTGGCCCTGTTTTTAATCTGCCGGACAGCCATGCTTGCTCCGTCTGAAAGCAACTCTGAAACGCAGCTTCGTTGCCCATCATCTTTTGCGATACTTCCAAGAATGCCAGTCCAAGACGTCGCCTTGATACGACGCTATCAGTCGCTCTACATAATGCACCGCAGCTGGTGTGCGGAGCATGATCGTTGGGGTAGCATTGGCGGAACCATCCCTTTCACTTGGCTTCTTTCCACAGTTTCGCCGTTGCTACAAACGACAGATCTGAAAGACTCAGTGTATGCATTTCTAGGGCTACAGCCCTTGAGAGATGGCTCTAAATCTATGGAACCAGATTATGATGCCCCTTATGAACAGACACTCGTCAGAGCTGCCACGTCTATCGTTCGAGACTCATTGTCGCTTGACATCCTTGCATACTGTGACCGCGAGAAAAGCGACGAACGCTTGCTCAAGCCCTTGCCTTCGTGGGTTCCGGAATGGAAAGCAAGAATTAAAACACCACCTCTTATACGATCTCCTACTGGCTTTCATCGTGCTTCACAGGGCCATTCTTGGCTGGAATCTGGCAATCCTCTCGAATTGAGGGTGAGGGTTATACGTATCGACACGATATCCACTGTCTTCGAACCAGAGTTCAACTACCAATCGGCTAACTGGAGAGAAGAAGATCTTGAAAGATATCTTGCACTTGATGAACGACTCATAGAAATACAGAAGCACGTGGAATGCTCTCGTGAGCGTCTCTTGAGTGTTCTCTTGACTCAAGAGCATCGGCCTGATTTTGCGCATGAGGATTCGCATGAGGATTATCATGATCAGGAATACCACGATAGCGTCGAGGATCATCTAGCAACCTACGATGACTATATAGACAAACGTAGAGAAATGGGTCCCGCAGGTGGAACTCACATTCTCGACGAATTACGTAACCAAACTTATCTTGTCAACACCAAGCATCTGTTTTTAACGGAGGAAGGTTCCCTTGGATGCGTGAAGCAACCGCTCAGAGGTGACGAAATCTGTTCGATCAAGGGGTGTCCAGGTTTGGTCGTTTTGAGACCTTGCGGAGGGGATCTTTTCACTGTGGTAGGGATTTGTTCTATAGAGAATCAGTCTTGGAACGTTGACCCTGATGTGGGTACTCAACAAGGCTTTTTATACACAATTTGGAAATGCATCGAGGGCGTCGAATACACATTGGTGTGATAGCATATTAAGTAATGAAGAACTATCTATTCGGCCACTTGCCTATTGCTTTTCCAATAGGTCAACCATGCTCCGCCGTCTCATGCTGAAGATGGCGCAGCTTGAACATGCGAAGAACAGAGGTAAAAATCGTGTAAGCTCTACAACTAATCTCTATCATTCTTATGGTCTATTACCTTAAAAAAAGTCATTACATTAATCTCAGTCCACCCCATTCGTAAAATCTATCATTTCCGTCTCATTAATCATACATGAAGACCCTCTAGTAGTAGGTGTATACAGGCGAGGCAGGAAGAGTACCAAAATCACCGGAACCGAAGGGGCTGCTGGGAGAAACCTTTCCGCCATTGACATCAGAAACGCCGAACCAAGCAAGCTCACTGCACTTGCTGACCGTGATAACAGCGAACGCAGGTGCGGGCTGCGCGGTGTATCCCCAAGAGACGGTCAAGTCAGTACCGCATGACTGGTTGGACCAGCTCTCGGTAGCAGCGTTGGAGCCCGGCATGCGGATAACAGTGCAGTGTTCGGTCTTGCCATCCGCGGTGAAGTCGAAGTTGTAGTCGCAGCCCGAGTTTCCGTCGATGCAGTAGCGGCTTAGGTTCGAGACGGTCCATGTCTTGCCCTCAACAGGCTTGGGGCTGGAGTTTGGTGTTCCGGTTACCGCAGGGCAAGGAGCAGCAGTTGGTGTAGGGATAGCGGCTGGTTGCGATCCAGCAGATGGCGTGGGGCATGATCCTGGGTGGGCAGGGTTGCAGCCTCCGGGAATGCCAGAGATGGATGAGAAAGTGGCAGCTGGGGCAGATGTTGGGGTAGGGCACGATCCGGGGTGAGCTGGGTTGCAGCCGCCGGGGATGCCGGAGATGGATGAGAAGGCCGCCGCTGAAGTGGCTGTTGAGGTCGTCTTTGGGAGGAGGGCGATCTGAGATGAGCACCACTCGCGGATGCGGGCGGCGTCTTCACCGTAGCAAGCGGTCCGGTCGCATGAGCAGATGACCTCAGCAGTTCCTGCGGCGACGCAGGAGTCGTAGGCAATTGTGCATTTGTCCTCACGCATGCGGAGAGTGGGTGATGCTGATGCAGCCGATGCGAGGATCAACGCGATGGCGGCAGATTTGGCGAGCATGTTGGCGAGAATGTCGTTTGGGTCTTAGTGTGAAGTAGAGATGTATAGTGTGTGCTGAGGAGGTGCTGGTAGTTATGCTTGACTGTCGACTGATGATGAGGATGGAAACAATTGGAGATGCGATGGCTGGACTATATATTTTTCATGTACATGGCCACCACGATGTCATCCTAACTGTCGGTAGCAACGGAGTGTGATCGGATATACGGAGGAGGAACAGCTGATCACGTCCTTGCTTAGCCCTGGTGCCATGCTGTGGCTCTCGTGAGGCTCTCGGAGAGGCGATTCCGATCTCATTGGCTCGCGAGCGGGACTTCTACGACGTTCGGCTCTTGTTGCGCCGCAATACGAGGCTCAGTCGCATGATATGACGATATTGCGCTTAACACGAGGAACGTTTCCTGGTTCAAGGTCTTTTTCGATAGTTCGGATGCATCCCGGCGAGGCTTGATGGGCAGCTAACGACTAGTCGCTCCATTATTAGCAGCCAACTTTGGAATAGCACCTGTCAATCGAGCTTGACGAAGCTTGAAAGTTAATCGCTTCGGCTGTCATCCGAGCAGCGGTGACAAAATAGGACGAAGTTGCAATGTAAAGCTACATTTGATATCACTTTGGGGATGCACGTACTGCCAACCCGGGTAGTCCCATGTGCCGAATACGATGTGGCCGGAAGATTTGTGAGTTTGTGACGTGGTTTTCGGCTAGCCGATCGTCTCCATGAAAACAAATCCCCGCGTCCGGACACTCCGCTTCAGACCATCACAAACGCGCTTCGTTGTTGTCGCATTCCTCGGCGGCCGCGATTTGGAACGTGCTGGAGGGCGAGGCTGAGCTGGCACAGTCGGTGTGTGTTAGTGATAGTCCAGATCCTAGTCGCCAAAGGCAAGTTCTGCTAAGCTTTGCGCGACAATGGCATCGAGCCTCGTGCGCTTTCATCTTTGGCTGAAATCTCGTCGCAACTTCTCGTCTCTGTATTTCCTGCTATACTTGATGAACTCAGAGTTCGTGAAACGGTGCTGCAAGCAAATCGTTGGCGACATCGAATACAGCACATGCGTTGTAGACAAGACGTGATATTTTAACAAGGAGTCGTTGCGAAACGGAACGACGTGATGTGGTGAGATTGAACAAGAGAAAAACATCGAGAGCTCCTGCCGGACAGCCTCACGCTCATGGCAGTCGCACTATGTCGTATCGATCCTAGCGTCATTCTTAGCGTAACGCCATGCCGCTCCCGTCACCCGCAATCGTCATCACCAAGACCAAGGGATGACCACAGACAGCAGACAACGCGCTGCCAACCGCCATAGACACTCGAGATAGACCCACCGTTATATGCAAAGTCTTACATGATGGCTGCCGCTGCTCCCGAATCCGCCGACGTGACTGGCGCACGGAATCTGCCCACAGCCGAGGAGTTGTCGGAAGCGCTCAAAGTTGATGTGTACGATCGCGAAGGCAAGACGAAGACATTGGGTGAACTGGTCAAAGGCCAGAGGACTATATTGGTGTTTACACGCCATTTCTGTGAGTGCTGTTCAACCGCAGTGTTCATGTGCTACACTCGCATCATCTCGATCAGAAGGGTAGTTGGAGACCAGGATGCGTGAAGGATTCTAACATCGACAGGGTGTTTGAACTGCCAAGCGTACGTCCGATGCATTAGCGAATCTATACCGCCATCGAACCTCCCTTCCAATACGCAGAGTAAGCATTAACTGTGCGGAGTCATTACACATTTATCTAACAGATAGTGTCCAGTTCTCGTCATAGGATGCGGCTCCTACCAACCCATCGACACCTATGCTGCCAACACTTCGTCCAAATACCCAATCTACACTGACCCAAGCTTGAAGCTGCACAAGCTCTTCCAGTTCAAGTCCAATTTAGCTGAGGGCAAAGCCGGTGATGAACAGCGAGACTACATGCGCAACGCAGGTAGTACTATGTCAAGGATCTTCGGCGGCATCAAGGGTGCGTTGGGGAACCTGCAGCATGTGAACTCTGTGGGACCGAAGGCATTGAATGGTGGTGAAGTGGTTCTATCGGCTGGTAAGTAGTTAGGCGTCGACGTGTCCTTTCGCGGTCGCAGTGCTAACGAAAGGCATTTGTAGATGGCGAATGCGAGTACATGTACCGCATGCAAAACACGGTCGATCACACCAACATCTCAGAGCTGGCGAAGCTGGTTGGAGCTGAGTATACCCCAGTGAGCGGCGACGAGGGCAAAGAGCAGACTGGCAATGGCCCAGCGTCATAGTTCTCTACAGTCCACGTCTGCGCGGCGTACAGAAATTGCTTTATTTGAGATATCACAAAGTCCAACACGTTTTCCAATCATCTGATGCGTTCGTGAGGATCGTTCTACCGGACGAATTTGTTGACCTCATGGGTAAGCTAACTATCCACGTAGCGCAGCTAAGGTCTCTTCAGTGTTCTTGGGCGTGATCCATCCATGATCGAATCGATCCTTCGCATCGAAATATTCGAGTCTCATTGCATCCTCCTCGATTAGCCATTCCAAAGCCTCAAGCGGGGTTTCACCCGCATCATTCCTCGCATCACGCAGTTCGGGCCAGCGGGCTACCATACAAGCTGCACTTTGGTACATCCCACTAAGAGCAACAATGTGCAGGAGATTGCCACCTGAAGAGTGTAGGACAACCCCAGAGATCTCCTCCGCGCTCATCTCACTATATTTAGTATCCAGCTTTTCGCGGAACAAGTGGTCTGGAGATGCAAGAACGTCGACGACAATGTTCATGAAGTCCTCGGTACCTTTGGATGGCTGTAAAGGCGCAGGATCGAAATCATCCGCTGCGGTTATGCGATGGCACGGGTGACTGGGGTCGCTCGACAAAGCGAAGAATTTCGTGTTGCCCACGCGTCGGAAGCCGAGATCACGAAATCGTTGTTCTTGGTCATCGTGAAATGTGCAAGGAGTCGACCCCTTTGCAGTGCTTTCCCACGAATTGACAAACGCATACACAGGCTTCTTGAAATGATCTGAAAAGCCTTTCAGTACATTTCGCATGATGCGTGCGCTCCCACCGTGGCATCGAGCGGCATGATTTGTCGTGGTACCGTTGAGTAGAAGGAGAAGACCAGTGTCTAGCTCCGACCCCCAGATGCCAGACCCTTTCTTGACGATGTGCTCTTTGTATTCCTCTCTCAAGTGGCCGTTGTGATCGAATAGCTTGAATCCGAGGTTCTTGATCGGGCCCGGGGTGGCGAAATGATTCATCTGGCGATAAAAGTCGGGCATTTGAGTGCGGTCGATGAGAAACCCAGGCTGGAGATCGAAGTCAACGCTCGTTGGCCCGTTGCGAACGAACTTCTGCCAACCCATCCCTTCTAAAGACAATTCTAAAGATAATGTTAGTCAGTGTCTGTATTAATGTTCGGTGGTGTTAAAGAGTGGTTTGTGATCGAAGCTCGTAAATTACGAGAAAATGCCAACACCAAATCGTCAACAACGATTCCAACGAAATATTCCGAAAACCGAAATACTGAAAGAAATACAATCCAATTCCACGTGAAATAGTTTTGGGTGTATTCTGAAACTGGATGCAGCTTCTATACTCCACTCCCTGCGTTTCTACATGTCGTGGTTGCTCCATGTCGTCGCTGCAAAAGTTGAACGAGCGAACTTACCGATGATCTCGTATCCAGCGCAGGACGTTACCTGATGAGAAGCGGAGTAGTTTTGAAACATTTCGCACGATCAGCCTCGTCAGATAGTGAAATATTGGGGTTTTCAGATGGTGGGTGGGCAAAAGGTTGAAGTGAAGGAGCAGGGTGAAGAAAGAGGCAGCGGCAGGAGAAGAAGTAGGTAAACCCTTATCGACCCCGCACATATGAGCTTAACTAACACAGTCTAGGTTCATACTGCGACGTGTCAATCTCGGCACTTCTGCGCGCTCAGTCAGGCCATGAGTGACGCTTCAGCGGCACGGCGTCAAGCAAGATCAGACCTGGAGTCGGTCCACACATAAATCCGGCACACCAAGATGTGATCGACTATTCTTTGGAACCTTTCTTAGCCCACGAAAGCCTGCGTTGACGAGTAAGCTATCTTCCACTTCCCGGTTCACCACCAACAAGCAGCCAAGACTGGCCCGCCACGGACAGTAACCACGACAAGTCCACGACCAACCATAATCCAACATTAATCCTCGACTTACTCAAATTACAACAGCCATGGGTATGTATGAGGTCGTTCCGATAATTTTGAATGATTGTTGATAAATGCCTTACGGGCAAGTATTTAGGGTTATTCTCGAGCTCAGCGTCTAAAATACACACCAAACATTATTTGCTCACATCTTACGTACTGAAACAGACCGAATCGATTAGCTTGCCTAAAGATACCTATCTAGTCTCTCTTTAAGTGCGTGCACCGAAGCCAAACGGTAACGGCATTTGGCCAGATAAAATGATGAAGACTACATAGTATGCATACACAAGAACAGGCAAAAGCAGTGTGGAATTCAGTAAAACAAAATACATTGACAAATTCATGGGTATATCTCTATCTAACATATCAGTAATCTATAGGAAATCATTACTCAAGTCCCGCATCTATATCTCCAGCCCACCAGCAAACGGATCTCTCGCATCACTCCTCATCTTCGCAACCTCTTCATGCTCCCTCCTCAACGCCCTCCAATCAAACTTCTCAAACGCAAAACTCCACGTCTTTTCCGCGACACTCAACATCCACTTGCTCATCGGACCAATATCGTCACCGTGGAAGCTCTTCCTTCCCACATGTTGGACCAGACTGGGTGTGACTGCATATCTCAGCTCGTTGCGTTCGTTGGCAAAGTCCTCTGTTATGACGTCCATGTATCCGAGATGGCGTTCTTTGAAGTATTCGACCAGTTCGCCGGCTTTGACGTTGGGGAAGACGAAGGCTTGACTGCAGCAGGCGAAGCGCGGCATCTCGTGGACGCCGACGGCCATGGGCTGGACGGTGATGCGGCCGAGGCCGAAGTATATGAGGATGAGGAGGGCGAGTGTGGTGTACATGGCGAAGAAAGTGCGGCGGGTCATGAGGGCGAGGGTGAGCTTGGTGGTGGGTTGGGCGAAGCGGAGGAAGAGGATGACGACCGTGGGTACGAGGGCCACGTAGACTGAGTTCTTCAAGTACGTCTTCCACTCCTCGGCGTTCCAGCCGAGGAATTCTTCGGTGTAGAAGAGGCGTAGGTAGAGGAAGTCGGGTTTCGCGCGCTGTAACGCGGCTTGTTGCTCGGCTTCGTGAATGGCGCCGAGGGTACGGTGGTACCAGCCGTCCATGGCCACTGTGTCGTCTTCGAAAAGAGCAACATAGGGTGTATATTGTTCCGTACATTTGTTTAACAGGTATTGGTAGTCGAACAAACCCTTCTCGATATAGTTGTTTCGTGCCTCCATTATCCGAATGTACTGCATGCGGTCGTAGCCATATCCGTAGGTCAATACCTCGTCGGCAAGACCAGATAGCCACTCCTCGTTGTACGCAGGGTGTGCGCCGGGGTTCGAGTGGGGTATGAAGACGATGAGGTATATCTCCTGTCGCTCTTCAGGCGTGAGACCTTCCAGTAATGAGCCCACAGCATCCGGCAGATACTGAGCACCATCGCGCTGGTATGAAGAAATGCCCACACATAGTTTCCGCTGCTTCTCGGGGCCGGCCTTGGTTACGTTTGCGGGGTTGTAGGACTCGACGAAGGACTCGGCCTGCTGGCGTCTGACGGCGGAATAGCGGGGGGCATAGCCTTTGCGTGGGTTGAAGAAGATGGAGGTAGGATCACGTGCGGATATCGAGTTGATAGTGTAGAAGAAGCTAACAGCGACGAAGACGGCGAGGCCTATGACCAGGCGGGAAGGCGAGAAATGCATAATGTGCGACTAGACTAGTAAACGAGTGTGAAAATGCTCCAAGGGTATTATCGCATCGCTAATCGAAAGGTGGAAGTGGAAACGAAAGCAACGCCGCGAGGCAGGTCATGTCATCGTCAGTGGCAGTGTCGTGGTTGACAAACAAGAAAAGGTGGAGGGAGAAAAAAAGATAGGAGCGACGACGCGCGCTCAAGATGAGGCGGGCTTGAGCGGCCAAAGCTGAGCTCCACCAAAACGGCGGATCTTGCCTTACGAGGATCTGCCGTAGCTGACCAGTGACCAGTAACCAGTAACCAGGAAGATAAAATTAGCAGACCAGCATGCGCGTGGGTCGGTGCTTGGTACTCAGGGCGATGACGGGGCGCGCAAGATTGCCATGCCTGTAGTCGCGATCACGAGAAATGAAGCCCATTAATGCCGGGTCAATAGGGGGAATCCGTGATCAAAAAGTATGGAAGATTCCATGCCACTCGGTGGTTTCGGCGGTATCATCGAATGAGGCCGTGAGCGACAACCACGGTGTCAGCTTGTGTCTTTGTCTGAGGGGATAGGAGAAGGACAGAGTTAAAAGGGTGAGAACGACGGTCTGGACAGAGCTATGTGCCTCCCGCGTGTTTAGCGTGACTGTTGACAGTGACAGCGACTTGACAGACGGTTGCAACTCCGCCTCCCCCGTGCCAATTGGGAGAAGTTTCCATTGTTGGCTGCACCATGCGGTCGGCCTTACGACAATCACGATTAGATTGCCGAGGGCCTATATGATCGCTCGGTTCCTTCCCACCATCTAGCATACGGGACGAACGTTCCTTCCGACAGTTGACGGGTCAAAATCAATAGGCGCTCCAACACGTGCGCAGGCGTGTTGGCGCGCGCCACAACCGAAGTGGCGCGATGACGAGCCCGGAACATGGCCGCATCTGATGCCAGCTGCGCATGCATCGCATTGAGTCACCATCCCATCGTCGCTGCTTTGTCAACATTCTTGCAGGGCTTGTAGCACTCAGCCCTTTGTTTGATCCAGTCATAGCCGTTTGACTCACCTGCCTTGATCCCCGCTTACCCTGGAGTCACTCATATAGCGTACCAGCACCAGCACCAGGTCGCTTCCGGCTCCACGCGCAGCAGCAGCAACCGTCGTCGGTGCCATGCCCAAGAAGCACACGCCCTCGTACACAAC